GTGGTGTGTGTGTGTGGTGTGTGTGTGTGGTGTGTGTGGGGGGTGTGTGTGTGTTGGGTGTGTGGTTGGTGTGTGTGTGGGTGTGTGTGTGTGTGTGTGTGTTGTGTGTGTGGTGTGTGTGTGTATGTTGTATCTGTTTGTGTGCACGCAGGAGCATGCCCTCCCTCAAGAAGAGCCAGACAACTGACCATGTATGAGACCCTGTCTGAAAAACAGGAGGAGGCTAGAGAGTTGGCTCAGCCGTTAAGAGCCCTTGCTGCTCCTCCAGGACCCGGCTTCAATTTCCAGAACCCATACTGTGGAACTCTCAGCTGCCTGTAACTTCAGTTCCAGGGGATCTGACACCCTCTAGTGGCTCCCTCAGACACTGCATGGACATGGTGCATATACATACACCCAGGCACACATGTGCACAGGCAAAACACATAAGTCCATCTTGAAGAGAGGGAGAGATGTCTTCATGCTAGACAGTCACATCACAAGTGCTCCCATAAGACAGAAGGTAATGTGACAGCCTATACCTACAGCTGTGTCTAAACTGTCACCTCCTAACATGCAGTGCCAAGCTTACATGGCTTACCTCAGAGATTCATCTTCCTCTTTGAGATCCTCTTCAAGCTGTAGGAATGTCTGGATCTTAGAAAGAGATTGGATATTCAAATCACTATGTGAGAGAGATCTCCTACACCTAAATATACGTATCCATAAAAAGATAGCGGGTAGGGCACAGGACACACGCCTTTAAGGCCAGCACTCTAAGTTTGTAGTCAGCCTAGTCTCATAGAGTGAGTTCCAGGATGGTCAGGGCTACACACAGAAACCCTGTCTTCAAAATCTACACCATTCCAGGGCAGCCTCTAAAGCTACAGAAAAACTCTGTCTCAAAAAAAAAAAAAAAAAAAACCAAAGCCAAAACAAACAAACAAACAAAAGAAATAAACCAAACCAAAGAAAACAAAAACAAAAACCTAGCAGATGGAGCCCAGGTTAAAGCCCAGCAAGCACGGAGGCCCTGGATCACCCCAAAGCAACAAGAGGATAACTAGCAGATTACTATCAGACTGTGCATAGGTCCAGCTGGGAGGCGGCAGATGAAACATTCTCCATTTAGCTGGGAGATAACTATGTGCTATCCACACGATTACAAATAACCTTTAGATAAACTGAGATGTCCACAGAGTGGCATAATGCATGACAACGCTTGCCTAAGACTGACGAGGTCTACTCACCAGTTCGGAGACCATGATTGGCCACAGTGAGGTCAGATGCTGGGGAGATATTCTTAGCAGCAGAACTCTGAAAAAAAGAAACATCTGAGCAGCGACTGTGGATGTCTGTCCGACTCTGAGGTTGTCTGTCAGGCGCTCTGAGGAAAGAGATTTTAGAGAAGTCACACAAATATGCAGGCTGGGGTTTCTTGTTAGCTAAAAAAGAAAAAGAAGGGCGTGGTGATGCACGCCTTTAATCCCAGCACTCGGGAGGGAGACAGGCAGATCTCTGTGAGTTCGAGGCCAGCCTAGTCTACAAAGCTAGTTCCAGGACAGCCAGAGCTGCACAGAGAAACCCTGTCTTCAAAAACAAACAAATTAAAAAAAAAAAAGAAAGAGAGAAAAAGAAAACTGTAACCACTTTGACATTTTGATGACAACCCAATAAAAGAGATGAGTCCTACGTGGACATGCATGCATACACCTTCAATCTCTGGCAAAGGCAGGCTTGCCACAGTGCGAGCTCAGCCTGCTCTACATAACAAGCTCTATGCTAGCCAGGGCTACAGTGACTTCTACTCCCTGTCTGTAAAAGAAGAATTAAAAACAGGAAGGGCAGGTGGAGGATGTGACTTCGTTTGTGCAGGGTTGGCCTGGAATGCACGGAGCCCTGGGTTTTTCCCCAGCACCACATAAACTGGGCGTGGCGGCACACACCTGCCATCCACAGAGTTTGAAGCCAGCCTAGAGGGTATGAGATGACTGGGACAGAGGGGGAGGCAGAGAATATGTGTTTGTGCGGTCCTGCTACAGAGTTAGCCCAGGTTAGCCTCCAATGCCTCCAGCCTGCCTCGGCCTTCCGAGGACAGGATGTGTCACCATGCCTGACACTTCCATCTGTCCTCTTGACAACTGCCATGTGATACGTTATTCAGCCACAGTCCTCATGCACCTCACCTCAATCTCAGGCAGCCAGAAGGACAGCATACTGTAGCCTTTACCGCGCACTTTCCCATGTCCCCATCATTGTAACAACCCAGTCACTCTGAGCCAGGTGTGTGCTCAGCTCTGTACACAGTGGTGTCCTTCAGCATGAGAGCCAGGCCTGCCTCTCTCAGGGACAGTGGTCACTCATGATGAAGAGGCTGAGTTCCATGGCCAGGAGAGACTGGGTGATTCCTGCAGCTCCCCCTTGGACGGACAGTTAAGGAGCTGCCTGTGTGTAGCCTTACAGCAACCTCTGACTGACAGCTTTAACTGGAACATGGTTCCTCCACATTCCCTGTCATGTACACCATGTTAAGTCATAAGATATGAAACTTCGTATCAGCTCCCCACAAAAACTTCCAAAAGTCTGACTTTTCCTTTTTTTGGGGATTGGATATCATGTGTTGACAGAAGTTTCTGTCCCGCCAGGTCCTGCAGCTGTTTAGTCCCAAATGAACACACAGAGGCTTATATTAATAATAAACTCTTTGGCCGGTGGCTCAGGCTTCTTATTGGCTAGTTCTCTTGATTATTATTTTGGAGGGAGGTTTGAGACAAGGTTTCTCTGTGGCTTTGGAGGCTGTCCCGGAACTCGCTGGAACTCACAGAGATCTGCCTGCCTCTGCCTCCTGGGTGCCGGAAATGAAGGTGTGCACCACCACCACCTGGCTTCTCTCTTAATTATTAACCCATTTCTATTAATCTATGTATGTCCACGTGGTCTTGGCTTACTGGAGAACGCCTGGACATCTATCTTCCTGGTAGCTACATGGCATCTCCTTGACTCTGCCTACTACCTTTCTCTATCTCTGTATGGATTTCCCACTTAGCTAAATCTTGCCTGTCTTCTGGACAAAGCAGCTTTATTCATCAACCAATAGGAGAAATGTCTATTCATAGTCTACAGAAGAACACCTCCCCATCAGATTCCTCTGGAGATTTATTCCAAAGTGGCTCCTCCCTCTCCCTAGCTCTCAACAACCCTCTCATTGCATGCCCCATCTCTCATTTTTCACTCCATTAAAAAGATGTTATTATTAATATTAACTCTGTCTATGTGCATATATGCATGAGTGTAGGTGCCCAACGAGGCCAGAGCTGGAGTTACAGGCAGGTGTCAGCTGCCTCACTCCTAGGTGCTGGGAGCCGAACTCAGTTCTGTAGAAGAGGAGACTCCTCTCTTGGGTGCCAAGCCCTCTCTCTAGCTACCACACTGTAACTTTACCTTTACACACACAGTACACACGTGGATACATGTGCGATGTGTACGTAAGGGTTATGCTGTCACACTGCCCAGCTCTCATCCCTGAAGGGGTTAAACTCTCCCACTTCTACAACTGAATTTAGGTTTCGTACCCTTACACTCAGGAAACACATGAGGGGCCTAAATCAGCTTCACAGTGTCTCAAAGACAAACCCAGCAGCCTCTTCAAAGCCCAACCAAGCTTGTACAAATGTGTCCAAAAATGATAAGACTAAACCTCAGCCAATTAGAAACCTATTAAGGTGCCGGGCAGTGGTGGCGGCGCACAAACACCTTCCATCTGCTTTCAATCCCAGCACTCGGGAGGCAGAGGCAGGAGGATCTCTGTGAGTTCAAGGCCAGCCTGGTCTAAAAGAGCTAGTTTCAGGACAGCCTCCAAAGCCACGGAGAAACCCTGTCTTGAACCTCCTCTCCCCCTAAAAAGAAACCTACTAACGTAACTGCTGCTTGCTTGACCAATCAAGGCTAAGATGACCTAATGGCTCCTGAAACTCCTCTTAATGATGCTTGGAAGGAGGCCATGCATTCCTCTCAGGGTTTGCACAGGTGAGCAACCACACATGCATGTGGTATAATGAACACTTTTGCTAATTGCATATGCAGATGGTGGTCTTTTGTGGGACTTCTCCAGGACCCTAACAATCCCCCCTCAGTGGGATGACTTCTCTTATATTTTTGGTTGTGAGCCTAGCCTTTAATGGCTGAGCCATCTCTTCAGCCCGGCATGACTTCTCACAAGTTCTGTTTTCCAGAACTCTGCTCACCCCTGCTTGACAAAGGCTGCTGTGTGCTTTTATTAACTTTTTTTGGAGACAATATAATGAAGTTATCGTTTACTGTATAACGCAGGCATGTACATACTCATTATGTGTGACCCCACCACAGTGATACAATATGGGAGCTATTCTGTTTCATAAATAGGAACCTGTGGTTAGAAGGTTACTGACTGCCTAAGCAAAGCCCAGCTTCTACACACCCTTGTAACTCTTCAGCCCTCTGGGCCACACCTACATGTCACAGAGGACAGGAAGAGGAGTCCTCAGACTAAAAGGACTGGGGTACAGCACACACCTCCCCACTTACACATGGAGCCTTTAAGGTGACTAGGCCCACGTGAGTGAGTTTGATACCAGTACGAAGGGATCAGTTTGGTCCCTTTTGTGTTCGTCCTCAGAACAGGTGTGGCAAGTAGCCCAGCTTCAGCCCTGGACTTTTCAGCTCCAAAACTGCGAGCAAAGACATTTCTGTTCACCACGAAATACCCAGCATTGGGTCTTCTGCTGAAGAAGCCTGGAGCAGCCCAGGACGGGCGGGGGTCTTACCTTGTATCAGAGGAAGGTAGAGGTGGTACTGGTCAAGCTCGCCACTGAAGACAGCAAAAGCCTGTCGCTTCAGCAGCATGGCCTTCTGATCAACACTGGAGAACAGCTTCAGGGAGCTGCTCTGCATGTCTGCAACAAACACATCGCAGGCAACTTGTGTGAGAACCATTCAACCTGTGACACTCCCTCCTCCCTTCACAAAGTCCGGATCACCTTTGAGAACATGCAGAAATCACTCCTGCACACATTTAAAAGAACAAAGCAAAACACCTATCTCAGGTGGGAACAGTGGTTCATGTCTATAACCAAACACCTATTTCTGGTAGAATGGTAGTTCACATCTATAATCTTATCACCTGAGAGGCTGACACAGGAGGACTGTCAAGAGTTTGAGGCTAGAGCCCGGGTGGCGGTAGGGGTGGTGGGATGATTCTGGAGGCAGAGGCAGGAGGGTCTCTGTGAGTTGAAGGCCAGCCTGGTTTCTAGGATAGCCAGGGCTACACAGAAAAAGAACCTGTCTTCAAAAACCAAAAACCAAAACCAAAGCCAAAACAAATTTGAGCCAGCCTGGGCTACAAAATGATGAGTTCCAGGAAGTCGAGGCCATTGATCCAGACCCTTTCTCAAGAAAACAAAAATGAGGATGCCACTAAATGTAACCCCCCCCCCCCCCCCCACACACACCAGCAACACCCACCCCAAACACACCACCCAAAATAGCTGCCCTGTGGGTGAAAGGGGAAAGTTTATTCTAAACTGCCAAGGCTGTGCTCCTGGGAGAGCAAGCAGAAGCGAGGGAGGAAAGATTTCCAGGGTTAAATGGCAATGGGAAGAAGACTTGTGGGGTGGGAGCTTGGGGGGAGACAGAGGCCAGTGCTGACCCTGACAACAGGCACTACAGCTGTGTGTCAGTGGAAGAGCTACACACTCCTCTTGCCAGAGATGGTTAGAATGATTTGTAGGAAGCCGGTTCCTGCATTATAATGGTGCCTGAAGACACCAAGATGTGAATTACTTCACAGGCGCTGGGTAATCTCCATTCCTTTGATCTCTGCCTATCCCGTGGCTCATTTTTGCCTGAGGAGCTGAAGCCATTCATAGGGTAATACGTCCCAGGCGGCTGGTCAGCCTTTTATAAGGGATGGTTTTCTTAGTTTAGTGTCTCCGCTCAGTCTCTGTTCAGTCTCCACTCTGGTAAAATGCATTAAAGCTTGTCTGCAGAAGGATCCGAGTGTCCTGCGTGTATTTCTTGCTGGCGAGGAATACAGAGCGGGCGCGGGACATATGGTGCCGAAACCCGGGAACATATGAACATCTCCAGCACCGCGGAGACCCCTTGGCTACAAGGCGGATTCAGAACTGCAGGATGGTAAATTCGGAGAGGTATGATTTTTCTGGACTTTGGCTTGGGACAATCTTAAAGAAGTCCAGAATTACATATCAGAAACCGAATGTAATGAGAGAAATTCGGAGAGGTATGATTTTTCTGGACTTTGGCTTGGGAATGTTGCTATTGTGGGAGGTTAATATAGAGGCTTCTATGCTTTTACTAGGAGCTATTTTGACTTTTCTCACTGTTACAGCAATCTTAAAGAAGTCCAGAATTACATATCAGAAACCGAAT